ACTGATGTCCGGTTTTTAAATCTTTTTGCGCCTTTTTCCCAGGCCGCCAGGTTTCATTTCCGGTTTGGCGCCGTCACGTCACTTCCGGGTTTTGGTTGTTACTACAAATCCCGGCATGCTTAATTTTTCCAATGTAAATTGTACAGTCCGTTCTTATAGTGTCACAGTTGATATAATGCATACAATAGAGGTCTTTTATAGTCACTCAAAGACATAAAAATGGTTAGTAAAAAACATAGATCTACATTTAATCTTAGAACAACAATTAATACAAAATCTGTATCTGCTGTTAGTATTAATATAAAAGTAAATTTAAAATATCAGTATATTTTAAAACTTAATAGTCTACCAAAATTGGATATACTGTTAAGTATAAAAGAGACAAATAATTTCTTTTATATAAAATACAAAAATACAAACATTGCAAGTGAGTACCTCGAAGAAAGTATTTTTAGAATTGGGAATTAAAAATTAAGAATTAAATGTCAAGGACGAGCTGTGCAAAGTTGTATAAAAATAAATTTATAAAAAATGGCACAACTCAAAATCAACATTAAGACCAAAAAGGGCAAGGATATTAAGGTTAAAAATCCATTTCATTTCTATTTGGCCAAGTTTTTTAATTTAATTTTCCCCTCTCCAATTCATCTCCAGCTTTTGAATGGCAACATTTTTTAAAAGACTGGGATCACTAATGTGTGATATTTTAAAATGAAGGGACACATTATGCTTGTCATATCCTTTAATGTTTCTCACATGTTCATTGATATGGACATGTAGGGGGCGTTTAGTTCTCCCCACATAGTACAGACCACATGCACATTGTAGGATATAAATAACCCTTTTAGAGAAACATGTAATCATAGTTCTCAATCTATATTCTTTTTTGTTTTGAGGGTCTTCAAAGGATGTGAGATGTCTCTTGATACTATTAGTATTCCTGCAAGCCAGACTTTGACCACACCCCAAGAAACCTTGCTTTTGAAAAAAAGGGGGTCGACGTGTTTTCTTTTATATGGTTATTAGTTAAAAACGTTTTAAATTTGGCGCACCTCTATATATAGTTCTGGGTTGATTTGGTAATATGCTATGTAGCTTAGGGTCATTTTTTAAGATGGGCCAATATTTTCTTATTGTTGGAGTCAGCAGTCAGCTGACTGAGGAAGCTCTATTGAGAGTGAAACGCGTATTGGCCATTTTAAGGACTTTTATTGAGGACTTTTCTTAACATTTATAATTTTTTAATTGTACTATATATTAATAAATTTGTTATTCTACTCAAGATCCTGCTTAAGCCCTTTTTTGGAGCCTCTAAGAATCTTCATATGGGCAGTGCCATCCCTATTTAAATTGGCACCAAACCTATACACCTTAGAGCAGGGACCCATAGGCTCAGGACCAGATGAGCACTGCATTTATCATCCTACATCCGTGTTTTTATTGCTACAGCCTACACATTGGTTTGCTCTCTCTTTATGTTTTATTTACAAGAACTACTCCAAGCCGAAGCGGAAGGGTGGTGCTACCATAATAAGCACACAAGCCTTAATACGGAGCCAGTGTTCCTATATACAGGCTCCTTGAAATTTAAATGTTGCAGGCTCTCTCATGTAACATGTAGTGACCCGCTGCTATCAATGTTAACCAACTCCCTACACTACTTATAAAGTATAGCTTTTCTTTATGTACATACTTGTATAGAGGCAAACCTGCATGAAAAGGGGGGCGGACACACCTGCGAGAAGGTGTGTCCACACACATTACTGGCAGTTCTGTCTGGTGTATTCACACTAAGCTGAACTGCCAGTAATGTGGGCTGACACACCAGACTGCCTGCCAATCATTTGATCCTGCAGGGAGCACTGTTTAAAAAAAATGGTACACCAGGGGACTAAGATGGGAGGGCGGGACAGGACTTGAAATCAGAACTGTCCCACCGATATCGGGACTATTGGGAGGCATGGTACATTTTGATATGTGCCAAAATATTAGCCTCCAATTGCAACATGGAAAAGGCAGTCAATGGTGAATGCTGAGGCTTCTGTCAAATGCTATATATGTAACCTACATACAGGGCCGGAATGGGAAAAAAATTCGGCCCAGGCATTTTTTTTATCACAGTGGCCCACTAAGAAGGGGGCGGGGAATAGAGGGTGTGTTTTGTCATCACTAATGACAAACACGCCCCCTTTTAAAGTGAGCATGTTGGTTCAATGCTCTTCCAGGACAGACCATGTGCAAAGCTCTGCTGAAGAGCTCTAGCATGAGAAAAAAGCCGTGTATTTGTTCTGCACAGTGCAAGCAAATTTAATAACATGCTTGCACTGTGTTCCCTTGCAACTTGTCTCTGATGTCTCTATAAATCGATACCAGGAGACAAAAGGGCCAGGAAAGAGAATTGTGCATGTGTTTGGAGCCTTCTTTAAAACAAATGCATAAAAGAATTAATGTAAATATTTTTCCTTGCAACTTGTCTCTGGTGTCTCTATAAATGGATACCAGGAGACAAAAGGGCAATGAAAGAGTATTGTGCATGTGTTTGGAGCCTGCTTGTAGGATTGTGTGTGTGTAGGGTGAGCTGATTGTGGCGTGGTATTGTGTAATAAGTCTAGTGTATGTTTGAAGGACCCAGAATGTGTATAGGAGATCTAGTGAGTGTGCGTATATAACGGATTCAGAGTGTATATATGGATCTAGTGTATGTGTGTAGATGATCCAGAGTTGGGTAAGGGATCTAGTGTGTGTCTGGAATGTAATGTGTTTAGGTGTGCAGTATGTGTGTGAGGGATGCTGTATGTGTATATTATATATATATATATATATATATATATATATATATATTTATATTATATAAATATGTTTGGAAGTATTGTGTATGTGTGTGGTGCAGTGTTTTTTGGGGGGGTTGTGTGTGTATGTGAAGGGTGTAGTGGGTGTATGTGATGGATGCTGTGTGTGTAAGGGGTGCTGTGAGTGCTGTATGTGAGGGTGCTGTGGGTGTGGGTGCTGAATGTGATGTGTGTTAGAGTGTTGAGTGTGATGTGTGTGAGAGTGCTGTGTGTGAAGTGTGTGAGAGTGCCTAGTGTGATGTGTGTGAGAGTGCTGTGTGTAAATGTTAGAAGGGATTGTGTGTTGGGGGGTAAAAAAAACAAACAAATAAAAAACTAAGCATGCATAATATCCCCCCCTCCCTTCTTCTGGGAGGGGGGGACTGGCACGGTGGTACCTGGGAGAGAGAATGGGGTGGGACCGGCACTCTCACACCATCCCTGGTGGTCCTAGTGGGTGAGTGAACTCTAGCCTGCGAGGCTAGAGTTCACTTTTGCAAGATCGGGGGCATTGCCATGGCAATGCTCCGGATCTCGCGAAAGGAACCCGGCGGAGCAGCAAGATAGAGCTCCGCCGGGTCCACCTCTCCCTCCACAGACGCATATCTATTACAAGTGGGCCGGTGAGGGAGATCTTTGATCTCCTCACCGGCCCGTCATTGAAAACAGCGGGGCCAGCGCTCGGATAGTGCCGGCCCTGTATATACTGGCAGGGGAGATCCTGTGATCTCCCTGCCGGTCTTGGCCCATGGCCACCGCGGCCCACCGGGCATTTGCCCGGTGTGCCCGATGGCCAGTCCGGGCCTGCCTACATGTGAATATAATAATTGTAGGTGTTACAGCCTATGTTAGTAACTTGCTTACTGCATTATTAGGTCTTCTTTAAAACAAATGCATAATAAAAGAATTAATGTCAATATTTTTCTCTCATTTCAGATTAAATGAAATTGTAGCTCACATGTTTTATTTCAAACAGGTTTAACAGGAAATGTTTTAATATTATCGCCAATACAATAAATCTAAATGGTATTTAAAGCAATTTTGATGGATGGAATGTGCAGTATATTCAAAATGAAATCAGAGATATTTTACTAAAAAGATACGAAGTGCATATGGTTCAGACGTTTTATTTTAAGTATCACATATGTCAGAATCGGATTTAGAAAATCCTGTTTAGATTAACCTATTACGTGATTAGTCACTAATAAATTTTGAAAGATTAGAAGTGTATGAAGATACTGAAATCACTTGTGTGTTAACATTATATAGATTTAATGTTCTGATATTTAACTAGAAAATGTGGCTATTACTCTAGAAATGGAATGAAATCCATTCATGTGTTTATGTATGGTTGTATCTTGATTTAATGGTATTGCTGTTGGCTACGTAGGGTGAACACACATTCAGAGTATCGCACTAAAGTGAGAATTGGCTGAAAATCAAAGTGAGTTTAAATTGAATTCACGTTTAAAGCAAAAATAGCTGAAATGGAAAAATTCTCCAAGTCAGATATGCTTCCAGTTCAGCTACTTTGGCCTTAAAGGGATACTATAGCGCCAAATACACAAAGCTGTATTCCTGGCACTATTGCTCCCTGTCTCTCCCCTCCCGTGCACCCCTCCTGGTGAATAGAGGGTTAAAAACCTTTTATCTCAGCGCCACTCTTTTAAAACATCCCGCGTCGAGCGGGCACTAATGCACATGTGCAGCAAATGGCGCCCTCGCATTAGACCTCCCCATAGGAAAGCATTGAATCAACACTTTCCTATGGGGGAAAATCTGATGCTGGATGTCCTCATGCAGAGCGTGAGGGCGTCGAGCGTCAGATATCGGACCAAAGGTCTGTTACGATGCAGGAAGAGCCTCAATTGGCTGTCTGGGAGACAGCCACTGTAGACAGACATTGTGCTGCCATGTAAACATTGCAGTTTCTCTGGAACTGAGATGTTTAACATTGCAGCACAAAGTACAATAAGGACATTGCACCCAGACCCCTTCAATGAAGTGGTCTGGGTGCCTACAGTGTCCCTTTAAATTTCATATTCACTTTGAAGTCCTGACCATTCTCTTTTTACTGAATAACCCTGAAAAAAGAATACACAATGAAATTCTAGGTAACCCTCCTATGTTTTCTTTTCCTTTGAATTTTTTATTATTTTTCCAATTATTTTGCTTTATTTTAAATACAATATTTCATTCACTTTGAATTTCCAACAATTTACACTTTCGTAAATAACCGTGTTATTGAAATGTTTACTAGTACACGGATGATCACACCCTTTTCACTGGGACATATTTTGAGTTCTTTCAAACAACATTTAAGGAAAATGTATTACAGCAGTACTGACAACATTAGAAATGTTGTAAGACATACAAGGTCTAAAACAAGTGAAGTTTTGAAAATGTGCCCCCTTTCTGACATTAGGGAGTGCTACAAAAGAAGGGCTTCAAAGCAATTATGGCGTCTTAGCAGCCCCTAAAGATCGGAACCTATCTCAAGGACAAACCAGGCAGTCCCTCCCACCCCTGATCGGTTCCGGTGAGGGGGTTACAAAAATGTGATTGGACAGTCACAGAAAGTCTGGGCTTGGCAAGAAGGGGAGGGCTTGCAAAGGCAGCAGACATTAATGCTTCAGTTTTTGCAAGATTTTTTGATATGCTCCAATGAAAAAATGCATGCATGTTTTACTTGAGGTATATCTAATAAACAGTGATTCTACTTATTTTGGTATTTGGGAAGTGGAGTGTCCCTTTAACATTTGTAAGTATTAATGCATTCAATCTATGTATTACAAAGCACTTCTATGGAAGAAATAAAAATAACATCAAAACGGGGATCCCATATGTATTATAATAATTTTTTTTTTTTAAAGGTATGGAGTTGGGTAAATTGTGTAAAGCAAACATGCAAATATACTTACATTTACAAAATCCAAAGTAGGCATTCAATTATGTTGAAATAGTCCTTCAAATAATCATTTAGTATGTTGAAGCATTGAAAAACAACCTTAATTATATAATTGTCAATGTTTATCACGTTTTAATAGGGAAAAAGGAACACTAGTATTTAATTTAGACATTTACTGCATGTTACTTATATGTACACAACTTAAAGAGTTATATATCCTGCTTATCATGGTCCTGGTAGTGGTACAGATACATAGAAGACACAATAGTGAAGAGCTGTCAGTAACATGTCTTTTTAAAACTTTTCCGAATTATGTCTTGGCTCACTAGCACTTGCTCTATATTCTTTATGTTTTAGAATTAAGATTGTTATTGTTACTGAAATCATGGTGTAGACCAGTGGTTCCCAAACTTTTTAGGTTCAAGTTGCCCTTAATATTTCAGTATTTTTCCAAGGCACCCCAAGTCAAAATTTCTAGGTTGCATATCTGTACAGCGCTGTGGCATTTACTGGCGCTATAGTGTGAAGTACAGTGTTGGTGTTTGAAGGTGTGTTTGTCGATAGTTATTGTGTTTTAATACAGGGGTGTGTTTGTATGTAATGTTTGCGTTTGATTGCAGGTGTGTCTGAAAGTAATGTTCACTTTTAAATGATGATGTACATTTGTGTGAAGTATTTGTGTTAAGGGGTGTATTTGTATATATTTTTTAGTTTGAATGCAGGGGTGTGTGTATGTAATATTTGAGTTCGATTACAGTAGTGTGCTTGTATGTTGTGCTGGTGTTTGACTGCTTGGATGTATGCACATACACTACCACATACATACAAAGATGTAGCGAAGTAAATTTGGGCTGCGCCACAGAGATATGTATGATAGCCAAACAGGAAAAAAATAAATAGGAGTTTTGTACAACTTGAATTTGCAGTGCACCCCCTGGTGCTACGTCTTTAATTTCAGAAGGACAAAGTAAAACAAGCGTTTTCCCCATTGCAATAATGAGGTCTTCTCCCCTCCAATTAGTTACAACTTTTTAGTTACAACTGTTTTCCCCATTACTGCAATGGGGAAAACAGAGATGAGATGGATTTTTAATCTCAACTCCCTCCTCCCCTATGGACTAAATAGTGACTTTGAGCTATGCCATTTTTTACAATTTTTTAAAATATATTTTAACTAATCTGTTTTTATTCATTAACTACACTGGTGATATTTATTTTTATTAGTATTCTTTCCAACAACTTAAGACAATCAAAATTATTGGTATATAATATATCTTGATAAAGGTCAATTATAATATCTGGGATTATATATATGAGTATAGCACTTTAAATCTAGGAGGAGACATACAGCCTCAATATATTAATTTATAAAGTTTATTTAGGTATGGTAATTTCTCATGACAATTTATATTATTCAACTGATACCCCTTAAGGACACATGACATGTGAGACATGTCATGATTCCCTTTTATTCCAGAAGTTTGGTCCTTAAGGGGTTAATATTCTTTTCTCTGTTATTGTCTCTATTTGTATATGAGTTATAATAGACTTATAGGTAAAAGTACCCCTACGTATAGACATTGGAGACCAGTTACATTACAAGGAAACGCCAGCAAGGAAAATGGTGATACCCATACCGGAAGTGACGAACGGGAGTGACGTCACTTCCGGAAATCGGCACGGCAAATATGATCAGCTGGGAAGAAAACGCCTACGAACCCGACAGACCTGATTGGTTGGCCAAGAAACAGAAATGACGAATCAGGAGGAAAGGGCGAAACGCGTCTCGAGGAGAATCTCAGCAGACAAGACAGTGTTTATATTGTTTGGTAATTTATATATGTTACATTTTAATACTTATAATAAATTGATCAATTGTATCACTTTTTAGTCTATATCTAGCTGCTACCTTTACTTACCTCCAAAGAAGGTGTACCCCCCTTAGTGGGTAACAAGCTATTCAAACCAGAGCCAGGTATACAGAATTGGCTCAGGATAAGGTGAGCAATATACCACTTGGTATTTAAATTTGTCCAGATTCCTTTTGAACATACTTCACTAGAGAGATATCTTTGTCTTTACATATTCCCTAACGAGTACTGAAGGAAGGAACTAAAGAGGGAAGGTATCTCCCAAAATACACCAAAGTGAATGTGATTTGAGCCAGTCCTTCATTTGGCTCTTCACTTGTGAGTTGAACCTTATACCTGCATCCATAGTCCACCGGTTAGTATCACAGGTGTCAAGACTCCCCTCCTTCGGGGGCTGGCAGGTGATCGGGACGTTTTGCGGGCGATCATCGGCCTGTGTAATCGATGCCGAGGGATATGACCTCTTGTGACTCTTGGTAATAAATCAGAAAAAAAGAACAGATTCTGAGAGAGAAAGAGAAGAGGAAAATATAGGAGAAAGGTACATTTGACGTGACAGAGCAACTTAAATATTCTGAAAAAAATATTTGAACATTTTGATATGTTTTAACATATTTATATTTTATATATAAATTATATATTAATTGATTTTTTAATGTTTTGAAAATGTTTTTTAAAAAACCCAAAACAATACATTAATAAGTTCCATGTATTCAGTTATATTGAGATCGTAGGGAAAATGTTTTGTGGTAAATGAGTACATTTAAAAAAAAAAAATTAAGAAAAAAAATAAAAATAAAACCAGTTCCGCTGTTTATCAAACTTGGTTAACAATCCATCTGTTCTTCCCAGATGTTCATATTTCATTTGTTTTAATTAAATGGTTGATCAAATTAAAAGATCAATTGCATTGACTTTGTGTAACTATTTAACTATATTTTTGGTATGTGTTGCTTCTATGTTTGAATCGATACTATAGCGTTAGGAATACAAATCTCTATTCCTAACGTTATAGCCTCATTGTCCCTAGTTATTTTTTGTCCCCCATGTTCACATTTAAAAAAAATGTATTAATTTACTCACCATTTATCCAGCCCGCAGTCTCTCGCAAAGCTGTCTGGTCCTCCTCACATGAAAATCCAACCTACATAGAGAGAATCTACAAGAAACACAGGTGCATGTGCAGCACTACATGCAATGATTCTCTATTGCAAGCCATAACAGCACTGTAAAAAAACAAAACCAGGATGCACCAAAGGGGAAATATATATTGTAAAACCCAATTAGGTAAGCAAAAACAGCAGTATAAGATATACACATAAAAGAGTGACAAATAAAAACAGATAATGTCATTAAGAAGATAAAATTGTATGCCAGGTATATAAACAGTCCCAAAGATATTCTTTCTTGTCACAAATATTAGTGTGGTATTTCTGGTTATGGCTTCACTTGCGTATAAAACGGAGAGCGGGAAATCCAATAGCGCAATATGTAAATTCAAATGGGACACATACAACACTTAAAATCCACAATTGTCAACTCACATATAGTGGACTGGGCTCAGTATGCCCCCTCCCTGTCCCAAGCAAAAAAGGAGCGGGGAAGAAATCTGTATTATTTTTTTTTAAATACCTGCACTGACTTACACGAACACTATAGGATTAGGTATACAAACCCTAGTTCCTATTCAGATTTAGGGTTCTCCCTTTTGCAAACTAAATAAAAAAAAAAAAAAAAAAGCTTTTAACCTACATTTTTTCCAGCACCAAGACTCCCTCACTTGCTTCCCTGATATATAAAGGATCATTGGGGATGAGGTGCACCTGCGCAGTGACTTGTCACGTGCGCATCCAGCTGAATGCTTTTCATTGGAAAGCATTGAATTCAAAGCTTTCCTATGAACAGCATTTGGACACATTACCAAATTTCAAGTTGTTGCTGCGGAAGAATCACACACAACCCCTCCTATTGGGCTGGTCTGCATCAAAATGCCCAGGCTAAATGTTTGTTCCAGTCCAGCCCCAGTTTATAAACTTAAGTCTAAAACAAAATAAACCTAATCCTATGCTAATCCTAGCCATTACCACTCGATGTTACTACTGATTTCCATAGTTTATGCCCTGATTGACTAGCACAGGAGTAGGCAACCTTTTAGCAGCAGTGTGCCGAAATAAGATTGTGATGTCCTGTAGCGTGCTGATCCTATTTTTTAAAATTGAGTTGTGTTTGTTGCCGTATTCTGCTTGTGTTATTAATACTGCAGTTGCTTTTTATAGTATTTGTAAGTATATGAGCTATTATCTTGTATATGTTTACATGTAGTTTGTGGTGTTCTGTATGATACCAATGAATGTAGGCTGTGTATGGGAGCTGCCTGTGGAATTGTGTGTGTAGATGGATATGTCACATTGTGTGATTGGTAGTGTGTGTGTATGGTAATGTGTGTATTTGAGGGGCTGTTTTGGGTATTGCATGTGAGAGGCTGCATGTGGGGTTGTGTGCATGTATGTGGATTGTAAGTGGTGTTGAGTTTGTGGGAAGTGTGTATATGTTTCTGTGTGGGCTGTTTGTGTTATTTGTATGAGGGGAGGGTTATTC